GTCATAATTACGAGAAAAGATCTCATAATTATGAGATAAGATGTCATAATTACGAGAAAAGATCTCATAATTATGAGATAAGATGTCATAATTACGAGAAAAGATCTCATAATTATGAGATAAGATGTCATAATTACGAGATCTTTTCACATAACTGGAAAGGTGTCGTTTACTAACCACTACAGAAGAATCACTGCACAGCAACAGGAAAGTAAGTTATCAGCTCACTATTTCCAAAGCAAAGGCTATAAATGAGTGAACATGTGTTGCTAGAAGACTTTAAAGAAGGTTTTTAGGTAAATATTAATGTGCTTTTTTTCTACGTTGGTCAAGCAGGTGTTGTGTCGCTAGCAGTGGGTTTTTAGAGAGGCGTCCTTTCGACACCCTGTTGTGTTGCAAACCCGGTTGTTTGGTTTTGCGATAACCCATGTAACACAGCCGTACATAAATTAGTTGTATTTTTTTAACTACAGTAATTTAGAGATGCAAATGAATGTGCTAACCTGCTAACACGAGAGTTAAAGAAAACACCGGTTTAAGTTTTCCAAAATAAAACCTTAGCGATTTTTTTCAAGCAGGCATCAACAGTTTATTAACGACATGACTCCTTTATTTTGAAGGTTGAAATATAGATTTCCGGTTTTGTTCGCCTTCTGAACGAACGCTCCTTGCTTAGTTTTAGAGTTATTAGAAGAAGTTGATAACTTCACAAGTCTAAACAGGAACGAAGACAGACCGACGGAGAAGACAGTATCTGTTGCTGAGGTGATTTACAGAAATTTAGTGCATGTCCTTGCTTCCTAACTTGCTAACTTTTGCTTTTTGTAATCCGAATTTTATCTGTAATGTCAGCTAATTTTCTCGGTTAGCCTGCAGCCAACTTTAGACTACCTTAAAATGCCAATAAATTCCCTCCCTGTTATTTTTGCTTTTACAAGAAACATAACGTAACAACACATAGCACTCAGCTTCCCGCTTATGGGAACTTAATGTTGTCTAATGATCAAGAAAACAATGACAG